GGAACGAAAAGTGGACAAAGCATATAGCATCGATAGGCCTGGCACGAAAGAATGTTGTGCCCCCTAGCAGGCGCCATGGCATCTTTCCCAACCAAGGGCACCGTTACAGTGTCACATCGACGCTGGTACTCTTAACTCTTCATTTATGAAGTGCAGTTGTTGTGAAGCATTGCTACTACATAGACATATTAACATGGACGTGCAGGTCAAAGCAGCTGTTGGTATGATGCTAGCAGGAAACTCGTCCAAAAATGCTCGCCCAGTACCGCGCAGAACAAAGATTTTCCGCAGGTTTTCGTCTGTCTAGCTTCGCTTTTTCGCCATTTTCTCATTACATAGCACCTCTGCTATTATTCTTGAGCAAGCACCAAAGCATCGTACCTTATGCCTTCAAGAGATGCCCATTTATTCGAAACTACATATGCTGGGATTGCCGATCCGTTAAATCGTCGCTTTGTGCTTTGGCTTTTGCAGGCGTTCTCACGAGGTATGGTCGCAAAAGCACATCATCGTGTTGTGGAAAATTTTCGTTCGTGCAAGTCTGTCTCTCTCTCCCCTCCTCCTGCCCCAATTTTCTTCTTCTGAATGACTCCCTTGTTTACCTGCACACCTACCATGTCATTGAAACCCGAAATTTCCCACAACTTAGCGGCGCAAGGGAGGGGGTATACATACGTGTGAAACTTGGGAAATCATTACGTTCGAGACCAAATACAACCCCTCCTCTCCAGCGGATGATATGCTCTGATTGTCGCTTATATGTGGAAATAGAGTACGGAGAGAGACCCGGAGGCGAGGCGTCTCGGAGAAGAGGTCGATGGTTATCAAATTTCTGTTCAATAACCAGACTGTCTTGAACATTGGTATGCCCCGTCCACTTTGGGGTGCCCCATTTCACTTGCCATTCTCCTGCCCACATCTTCCCAGCTACTCAACAGCACCTACATATGACCTTGCGCTGTTTATTCGACATGGAGATTCAACAGGCTAGCACAAAAGTAGCACCTAACACCGATATAGGGGTAACCTGTTGAGCGCACACGTTCGCCCAAAATCGTGGAAGAGCAGTGGCTTAATGAATGCGATGTGACCCACACAATGATTTTTTGGCGTGGTGAAGGAGGGAGGGGCGGGGGAGCGGGGTGGGGAGGGGGAAAGGAGGCGGTGTACAAGTCAGTGTTTTCATTTTCCCCAGACGAACCTGGTAGTAATTTACCGCCTCTGGAAAGTAAAGAGCTGGATTGGCCTACGCGGCAGTGGATCTGAGATTTAACCCCGGTATGCGCACGGTAAGCGTACCTTATGCCACTATTACCGAATAGGAAGATAGTAGTGGGTGGAGAAATGCTTTGAAAACGGTAACTACACTTCGAGGGAATGAGAGAGAAGCTGAGAAATTGTAGAAAAAGAGATTTGCTGAATATTTTGATCTTCAGCCTCGCGGGCTCGCACCTCGTGGATAAAACGTCGAATTCGCACTTCAACGACTTTTCATACGACGTGTCGGCCCCCATCTATCCCACTTCTCGAAATGACAGGTTCAACCATTGGCTTGATGAGCTTGCTTTAGTATCACAAGAGTTCACAGGTTTCACCAGAGTGAGACTTGTAAACAGGAAATAGCTGACATGCAGGCGATGTGTTCAGACTGCCCCCCCCCCCATCGCAATGCGTCCTTGCTGTCCCTTGAGCTCGCTACAGGTTAAGTTAGTCAGCCAAATCTCGACGGTCATGGCAATGTTCGGATCCGTCAATGACGACTCGGTCGAGTGCCAAGAAAGAAGTCGTTGTGGTAGCATTCGCTTCCTGCTGTATTCCACCATTTTCTCGTCCCATCTGAACCAGCTCCGACAGTATCCTGTCCTAAACACTCAAAGGTTAACCAAAAAAATTGGTGCTGCAAGGCTCTTCAGTTCTCTATGGACCAAAATAATTGGTGATTTAAAAAAAAATCCAAGGGAGGAAAACTTCAAGTTGAAATGCAATGTAAATGTTTCGGGAAAGCTTCCTACCTGTCCCGCATCGCAGCCAACTCTCCTGAGCACGGAAATTAAACGGTCCTCAGAATAGCCGAGATTCCTGGCGAATTCGACTAGGTGAGGAGGCGCCGACAACGGTGTGACTGCTTCTGGAGTATCGTCATCTAAAAAGATAATGTAATCGCATGAGAAATGAGCAATTATAGTAACGATGCATGCGTACCTAACTGCAGCCGTCCAAAGCCGAAGTCTGAGCAGATGGTGTCGGAACTCTCTCGCGAGAGTGACGGATGCGACTCTTCAGAGCAAGAGCTGTAGCAACTGTCTTCTTCGTTTAGATCGGCTCGTCGACCTCCTTTTCCCAAAGGAGCTCCCGCCGTCGGCATCACTCGTGAGACTCGACGGAGTGGAGGATGTTTCCGCTCCATGGCGGAAATGGAGTTCGCTAAAAGTATTGGTTCTTGAAAAAGGCAACGAGCAGAAATGAGAACAGAAGTATCGAAGGAATGCGCGAAGGAACTACAATTTGTCTACCAAAGAAGGTGATATTTTCTTGCACACGACAGTAGTAAAGCGTGAGAAGGCGAACAGGAACAGGTGTGGTGGAATGTAGCACTATGCACCAGGTGAGTGTGGTCCGGGACATTTATGGATGGGCTCTGGTAAGAGGCCAGTGCCAAAACCAAGTCAACCAAGCACTCACTATCACGGCACATCCTGCCCTACCGCTGAGAAAAAAAATTAGCAAAATGCGACCCCCACCCCTCCCCTTTGAAGGTTCCTCTTTGGCAAACTCCCCTCCCACCCCCATCCTACCTACCACCTTTCTAAATTATTCCGAATACCTACCTTTCCCAGGAGTTACATTCCTCCACTCCTCAAGCAGTTGCAGTCGAGCGGGGGAGGGACGGGCTATAGAGTGCACGTGGAACAGAATAACCGAGAAAAGTTCACAACCTGAAGCATCTTTCTCACAGGCGAACACGACCCCTTTGCCGGGGTCCTCGACGTACGACCTGCCCCGGTCACTACGGACAGGCAATATGCTGGTGGAGATCAATGCGAATCAGAGGCTAGGAGGATAGAAACACTGAATGGCACATCAGTTAGCCCGACTGGAAATCACCTGTGCTCCCGTTGATCATCGAGTTCCTCGAGCGGGCGCCAGTAACGTCTCCATTCGTCCCTGCAACGTGCAAGAGTTGCCCAATGAACTCTCTCTGCTCGAGGGACACGATGAACTTCATACCATTCGTTCAGAGCTTTCACGAAGAAGTCTGACCATCGCATAGGCGGTCGTCCAGGCGTTCGCTTGACATCCCGTGGAATCCAGTCGGTGACGCTCTGGTCCAGCGGTCGTCCTCGAAACGCATGACGTGTCCGGCCCACCTGATCTTCGAAACCTTGGCAAAAGCGGCGGCGTCTCTGATCTTCGATCGTCGGCGGATTCCAGGTGCGGCATGTTCCGGGATTGCCTCTCTCAACTTGTCTGTAAGCGGGAAACTCCGAGCATCGCCCTTTCGATAGAGAGCGCGATGAATTAACGCCGCGAGTGGCGCGTGAATAACGCCGACGCATGCCTCATCCTGCGTCTCCTAGAGTCAAGTCTCTCAAGGCAGTACTCAGGCAGGAAAGGACGCGGAATCGAAGAGGTGGGCACGGAGCTTGGTGTTCTTCGTCTTCTTCGCTACTCCCTCGATGTTCTTGAAGGCTCCTCCAAGCCGCTCGCTTCCTCCTGCTCAGCTCTGGAAGCCCATAATCATCATCATAATGGATTCCACGACCTAACGCCACACATAGCTAAGTCGGAATCCTGTCCGTGGATGCTGGTGAATGGGGCCATCTCAGAAACCAATCCGTTTCTCATGAACATCGTCTTCGTTAGATTCAGCCGTAGACCGATTTTTCACACGCGCAGTCGAATTCAGCCAGCATTCGTTCCGCTTGCTCGATGTTTGGTGTTATCAAAACGATGTCGTCAGCAAAGCGGAGATGGTGTAGTTGCCGACCGTCGATCTTCACTCCCATGTCTTCCCATTCCGTGATACGCATGACGTTCTCGAGAGAGGCGCTGAATAGCTTCGGCGAGATGGTGTCGCCCTGTCGGACCCCTCTCTTCACGTCGATGATGATCTCCTTGTAGAATGGTAGTTGAGGATCTTGGTCGGCTGAAGTTAGAGCTCACGAAAAAAACCCCCCATGGGAGTGTACTGAGTAGGAATTCCCTGAGTGTACCTGTGGGCTTCGCATAACCGCGTACTGCCTCAACGGAGTCGAAGGTTTCTTCAAGTCGATGAACGTGAGACATAGCGGCATCTTGTACTCTCGCGATACTTCGATGAGCTTCGTTACCGTGTGGATGTGATCGATCGTGCTGAATCCTCTTCGAAACCCTGCTTGCTCGCATGGCTGTCCTTCGTCTAGTGTTCTGCCAATCCTGTTCAGGATGACTCGTGTGAAGAGTTTGTAGACTACAGACAGCAGGCAGATTGGGCGATAATTGCCAATGTCGTACAGGTCTCCCCTTCGCTGCTACAGCACACGACACAGTCTTGCTGGTTTTCCACGAGGTGGGTACCTTGCATTCCGACAGGTAGCGCGTGAAGAGTCGAGCCAGAGTTTTGACAAGAACTGGCGGAAGATTCTTCAGATGTTCGGGTCTGATCCTGTCGGGACCGGGTGCCGTACGATTCTTTACCGACGAAATGGCGTGTCGGACTTCGGAACTGAGAGAAAATGTGGGGAACCGACGCTACCATCCTGCACCAAGCCGTTACGGTGGCAGGTGGACGTGGGCTGTTAAGAGATCTGATTGAAGTCGTGGATAACCTCCCCTCCTATTGCCCTTCTAGATTGCGGCGATTGTTCCATCCGGACGTCGGAGGGCGGTCTTACAGTCTTACAGTTGACGAAGGGTTGCGGCGTTGCGTATGCTCTTCCCAGCCTCTGCGGCTTCCACCAGCACTGCCCTCGTTATGGAATTGTCCACCAGGAGACTCCCATGTCCAGCGTAGAGAGTAGGGCTTCTGGAACTGCGAGTTACCATGGATGGTATGGGTCGACATGATAAACTCAGACAGCCTTTCACCCTGCTCATTCCACTCCGTTCCGTGAGTTCCGATGTGAAGTTCTTCAGCCGTTCTTCTTGGTCCGATCTTAGCGTTGAAATCACCGACGATGACCTTGAAGAAGGTATGATCTTCCTTGTAGAACTTCTCCAATTCCATATAGAACGCTTCGAGCTCATCCTCGTCGTAGCTTGATGTTGGTGCGTAGGCGACGAAGATTGTCAAAGCTGGAGTTGAACCACATCTTCTCAATCGCAAACGTCCGATTCGGGTCGTCAGATTTTCGTACGAATCGATGTTCATGGCCAAGTGCGTGTTGACGAGGACGCCCACACCGCCAACGCCTCTGCTGTCGCATGTTCCGAGGAACAGTTCTTCTCCAGTCTCGTACGGCGTGTAGCGGGCGATGCCTCCTCGTCTCGGTCAGTCCGATGACGTCGTACTTGATCTTCCTGGCTTGCAACATCAGATCTTCGATGTGAGCTTCCGATGCAAGCGTCCGCTGCGCTTGAAGCTACAAGACTCGTCATCGCTCAGTCCTTGGGCGACTTTAAACCCGTTGGCACCCTGTGAGTTCTTGCTAGGCTCGCCCGAGCTCGGTCGCAGGCGACGTTCGCCACTTGTCGGGGGTTTCCTCAGCGTTCGGGGCGAATGCTAGGCCCATAATTAATACGGGTTTTCGACGAGAGATATTTACAACCACGCTGCTTCGTTCAGGCCTGACGGTGGCCACCGCTCTGCATTGGTACGGTGTTATAAGAGTCCAAACCGTTGACCCCCACCCACAGTTGAGGCTGCGGATAGATCTGTAGGGAAATGTGCGGGCTAAATCACGGTCTTAGAAGTCGCTGAAATTTGAACAGAAACTGAGATGCTTGACGCCAACTAAAGGATAAAAGCAAGTACACTAAAAACACAAAGACACATAAAAAAAAAAAAAATAATAAAATAAGAGAACAAGAAAAAAAATTGACGTGGCATCCTCCGCATTGGTACGGTGTTGGAACAGTCCAATCGTTCACCGCGACGTTGGATTCAAAACTGAATAACTAGGCGAGATGGAGCTCAGAGCAATGCAGGCGAAGTGTATGTCAAAGGAGTCAAAAAGAGCAACAGTCTCAGAGTCTTGGTTGGGATCAAGATCGGTCTCTTGAACCTTCCACAAATTAGCTCTCTTCAAGCTGGTGTTGACAAGTATAATACGTACGAAGACAACAGTAAGGTGAGGAGACAGAAATCATCAGTTTACTTTGGCAGCTATCAGCCCGTTGATCAAACAAGATTCAAACCTCCGTTCTCCAAGGAATACAGTACGAGTAAATGAACAGAGTACTGCCCAGAGTAATGATAAGCGGAGTATTTCAAGAGCAACGTAGCGGGGACATCTACAGTGGACTCCTACTTGCATGGAAGTCTTTCTTGCTAAATGCTACGGTAACCACGCGGCTCGGCCCGTGAAGAACATGCGACGTTTTGGACAACACTTATTTTCAAGGTAGCGCTTGTCATTTTATATAAAACTACCTGAGGGACGGAGGTAGTGTAGTGGCAGAAGCCATTGCATACCAAGCATACAGCCGAGAATCGAGTCTCGGAAGAAGTCCTTCTAGTACAGAGCACGCCTTCCATCTCTGCTCGTCGGCTCTTGACCGGACTCACCCAGGCTGACGTTCAAAATACCACCGCGTATCTGCACAGAAATGGAATGCGTAGCCCATCCCAAAAAAAGGGATTCGATCAATGTCGGAAGCTCCATGCACAAGCTCCTATAAAATTAGGCTAATATTGCTTCCAAAACAGATACTCCCCATCATGTAGTAGTAGTACGTAATTTTTAGTATTATAGTAGCAGCCTGTATTTCCTTCGCGCTTCATAATTTGCCTCATAGCAGTGTGAAAGCTGGCATTGCGCTAATTCGTGCCTCCCATTTCGCCTGCGTGCACCTGATAGGAGACATTCGAAACAGTTCGAATTGAAAGTTTCCTTTCGGGAAGTTCTTATGCAATCGCTGTGCATGCCCGAAATTCAAAATAAGATGAAAATGAGTCATTGGGCATTCGATTTCTTCACTGAGCAGGTAATATCATTGAGTTAAAGAGAACTTTACCCTTAGTGCCACGTCCCTCCTTCCCCTGATGACCAAATACGATCCGATGGAGATTCCACAGCAGTGGCTTCGGTTGTCTTGAAAGGGTAAGGAGCCGTTCTGTGGACCAAGACGTTGTACTTGCTAGTTAGGAGTGACGGACACTGTTTTGCGAGACCGTTCATAGGTCGCCTAGCTTTTGGGAAAAATAGAGCATCACCTTCTCCTTCTCAGAGGTGAATCAACGCAAACAGTACTATACTGAAATACTGC